GATGGTTAAGCGTCTGCCTTCGGCTCAGGTCACGATCCCAGGGTCCTGGGATCGAGTCCCTCATCGGGCTCCCTGCTAGGTGGGGAGCCTGCTTCTCCCTCTGCCGCTGCCTCTCTCTATCTCTCTCTCTGACTCTCATGAATAAATAAATAAAACAAACACACACACAAAAAATTTAACAACAACAACAAAAAAAGCAAAGTGGCATAACGCAAGCCTTAAAAAAGCAGGGGAAAAAAGAAAAAAAAAAAGCAGGGGATACCTGTAGCTATTTTTATTACTTTTGGTCAGAGAATGGGCTATGATAATAAAGGAAGACATTTTACTAAGTAGCTCATCAATTTAATAAGTCACCATTATATCTCTCCAGTATTCCTGCAGAAACCTCATGACTGCTTCCTACTCCTCCCTCCTCACCAGCTCTTCTCTTTGCTTGCTCAGTCCAGCCACAATTGCCTCTTTGCTGCTCCTCCAGCATACCAAGGATGCTTCCACTTCAGGGTCCTTGCACTTTCCTCCAGATATCCTTATGCTCACTCTTTCACTTCCTTAGGGTGTCTGACCACTTCCTTTGGCTGTCTTCTCAGTGAAGCCATTCCTCACTATCCTATACAAAATAAATCTTCCTTCCACACACTCCCCCTTAATATATATTCTATTTCTCCACAGTACTCACCACAATCTGACATGGAGAAATCATTTATTTTCTGACCCCACTTCAGAAAACACACTAGAAGGTAAGTTCCACACAGGAAGGAACTTTGTCTTTTTGTTCACTGTTATATAGTGGTGTTCAATAAATATTTGTTGAATGAATTCAGTAAGTATTTAATACATCTATGTGCCAAGGGTTTCTTTTTTTAAAACATTATTTCATTTAGTCCTCACAAACATTTAAAGTACATAATATCACCATAATTTTTTAAAAATAAAGAACCAAAGGCTTGACGAAGTTAAATATATATCACCTATAATCACAAGCTTCCAAGTAGAAGAACCAAGATTTAATCCCAGGTCTGAGTCTGAAGTCCTTAGCCACACAATGTATGTTAAAGGGATCACTTCAGTACTAAGATTTTATGTATTCATTCAACATTTATTGAGTGCCTACACTGAAATATACTTATGACAGTCCCTGAGGGCACAATGGTGAACTTGTTACCTAGAGGAGAATTTGTGCCATTGATTCACCAAAAATTCAGCAGAAAATACTAATTCTTTGAAATGACATTGAGAGTTAAAAATCCACCAGCAGCAACGATGACTGGTTCTGAATGTTTTCCAGTATGCTAACCCTTACTCTAGGAGGGAAATTATTATAACACTAGCCCAGGGGCGCCTGGGTGGCTCAGTCGTTAAGCGTCTGCCTTCGGCTCAGGTCATGATCCCAGGGTCCTGGGATCGAGCCCCACATCAGGCTCTCTGCGCAGCGGGAAGCCTGCTTCTCCCTCTCCCACTCCTCCTGCTTATGTTCCCTCTCTCGCTGTGTCTCTGTCAAATAAATAAATAAAATCTTCAAAAAAAAAAAAAAGAAAGAAAAACACTAGCCAAGAGGGGATAGGGATGTGTCAGAATATCCTGCACAGTTTTCTGAAGCCCTACACAGGTTCCTGAAATTCTGGCACAGCTAAGCTGATTTAATAAAATGGGGTGGCTAGGCGTGTCCTATGTAATTCTAAAATAGGTTATCTCCTCCCCCTGTAAGAACCACATTTTCCTTTCCCTACATAGCTCACTGTGCTTTTCCACTTTTGAAATACCTATTTGCCCAACAGTAATAATGTAATTGTAGAGGTTTATTTAGACAAAAAATATCATAAAACCATAAAACTTTAGATCCCTAGGATTTACCCTAAGGACCCAAGGATCAAAGTCCCATAGAAGAGGAGGAAAGAAAATAAAATGTAAGGAATACTATTGGGCTAGAGCTTACATATATTATCTCACTTGTCTTAACAAACAGGCAAGCTAGCAAACATTCCAAAGAGCAAACCAAGTAACTTCCCTAAGCCACAAGGTACATGCACCACCCCCACCTTCACTGTAGCATTTGCGTAAGTCTTCCTCAAAAGGTCTGATAATCTTTAAAGTTCAGGAATGTCACGCTAGGACCCCAGTACAGAAATGAGCCATGATTACCTGTCTCATACTCACCCCAGGAAATAATTCAAGAGTCCTTACAACCACATTTCCAAATTACCAAATGGGTGATGGAAAACTAAATCTATTCAAAAGATAGTTATGCTATTATGAACCTTACCCTGATTAGAAAACATCAGAAAATGGAATTGTGAAAAAAGCTGTGTTTTCGATCTGACAGACTCTAGAGCTCTGACTGCTGTCATTCATGATCGCATCATCCCATGTTGTATCACAGGGCACCTAAGACTGTTTATATCACTGTTGCCCCGCCACAGGAATTTACTTTCACGAAAATAAGGGCTGTGCCCTTTTTTTTTTCATTGCTCTAGCCTCAACACCCTGAACACATAGGCAATGAAGAAACGATTGCTGGTGGGATAAATCAAGGAATGAGCAAACCTTGCTCTTCTCATCTGTAAAAAAGGAGAGAATCAAGCCACCTCTCGGGACTGTGGGGAGTATTACATGAGACGGAAGGTAACGCTGTGTTGGCTTATAGAGGGCCGGAAAAATACCATCTTCCTCGCGTTTCCACCGAACAGTTTGGGAATGGATACGCTCTGCGCCCGTTCTGGAAAACGGGAGCCTCTTCGCCCCATGAGGCCCTGGCGAGAGCAAGCAAAACCTTGCAGCTGTCACTCCCGGGGCCGGGAGAAGGCGGGCAGGCAGAGGTAGTGGCCCCCAGGCAGGGAGTGTCGAGGGCTGGGGAGAGGACAGGCCCAGAGCGGCCCCAACGGTCAAGAAAAGGTGACCCCCGGGGCCGGACTGGTCGAGGGAAAGGCCGGACGGGAAGGGCAGGCCCAGGCCCGGCAAGCAAGCGGTCATGGCGCCCCGAACCAGCCCTCGACTTGAGGGCTGGGGGAGCTGCGCCAGCCCAGCGGGCCACCGCGGTTCTTACCAGCTCGAAGCGCCGCGCCCGGCGATCGGAGGGGAAGCTTCCTCGGAGACAGACCGGCCTGATCAGGTAAAGGGCCGAAAGGAAGAGTTCTCGCGAGAGCGCAGCCCTCCTCCCACGCCTCACGCCACGCGTCTGACACTCTCGCGAGACTTCCGCTCGGGTCAGTGCAAAGCCCTTGTCCTCCCTCTAGAGAGCACAGAGCGCAAGCGCACTTTTTCTGGCACACGAGGTCCGTGTCCTTTTCACCCTTCGTGAATAAATCCCACTAAGTGAAGCAAAGTTGTTGAAGGCACACTGTGTGCCAAAGATTACCCTAAGTGATTCTCTCACAACAAATGTCCTCACAAGACAGATTTTAGCTTTAATATACGCTTGCAAAAATAAATGTCAGAACACTCAAAAAAGACAAATCCTGTATGATTCCACTTATATAGGGTACCTACAGTAAGTCAGATTTATAGAGACAGGAAACACACTGGCGTTTGTCACAGGCTGGGGGAGAGGACTAATTGTATAACGAGTATTGACTTTCAGTTTGGGATGATGGAAAGTTCTGGAGATGGATGTAGGGATGGTTACACAACAATGTGAATGTAATTCCACTCAATTGTAAACTCTAAAAATGGTTAAAATGGTAGCTTTTACATCCTGTATATTTTGCTACAACTTTTTTTTTAATTTTTAGTAAATAAATGTCAGAGTCCAGATTCCAAGCCACATCATCTGACTCCAAAGCATATGTTCGTTTGCACCACATCATACCATTCTCCGCATCCCACCGCTCTGTACTTCTCAAAATTTGTGCATGTGGCATTACCCACATTAGAACTTTTTTGTTTATTTGTGACCAGATATTAATATAGGCATCTTTCTGTCTCAGCTTTGACAGAGGTCCCCAGTACTCAGCTATCTGCTCTCCATGTTTCTCAGCAAGGTGAAAGACCATCTAAGTAGGTCCCACCAAGAGTGACAAGGGGCAAGGCAATCTCAGAAGAAAGCAATGGGAAACGTGGGTTTGAATACAGAAACTAAAAGGCAGTCATAGCCTGAATTGGAAGGGGAGCTGTGGAGAAGGAGGAGCAGCAGGGCATGTTGGAGAAGCCCACAAAGCCCCAAGAGAAAGAAAATCATCCTAAGCACTGCCACTGGCAGAGGGAGCCAAGACTATACCTGACCCTTAATTCTCTTGTTCCCCTCTTCAATTCAGATGCAGACTCTGGATTGATACTGTTTTGTAACTAAAAGTGACCAAAGCACTTTTTAATTATCTTAGGACCAAAAACACTAAAGGGCCTGCCTAGATTGCTCAACTAGTCCACACAGCATGTTTAAACAGGTAGGGTTCAGGGGCAGAGGAAAAATAAAGCTCTTTACCAATTGCCCACAGATTGTTCAACAGAGGACTGTTTGCTTGTTCGTCATCTGTCACGTACACACTCGACTCTAAGCCCCAGGACAGCAGAGACCTTGTTTCTCTGGTTAATTGCTTAGCCCCAGGCTCCAATCACTACCTGGCCCAGGCACTCAGTAAAGAGCTGTGGAGTGAACAAATATTCTCTCACGCAGATACAGCAAGAGATGATCAACGTTGTCACTGTTTTAAGTTCCGAAGTTTTGGGGTGGTCTGTATGCAGCAAAATATACTAGAGCCTTGCACCCAAGCCATTTCCATCCACAAGGCAGAGTTCCTAGCCTTTTAATACCCCATCAGGGTGTGTGGTCTTGGAGGCGCTTCTCCCACGCTGTCCTGCTCTAAAGTGCCCTAAACTTAGGGTGCCTAGCAGGCTCAGCTGGTAGAACATGGGACACTTTTGATCTTGGGGTCATGAGTTCAAGCCCTACACTGTGTCTAGTGCTTACTTAAGAAACAAAAAAACCTGTCCTAACCTCAAGTAAACACAATATATGTGGGACACAGTATGGAGGATGCTCTCTGAAGAAGAGGAAGGAAGGATAAGCATGAGACCTCAAAGAAAATGAGGGATCTGATTTCATCTCGAAGACACATGTATTTTTTGGATTGTTCACCGGATAGCTGGACACCAGGGCAGCAGACTTCAGACATATCATAAGTGACAGAAGCAGCAGTGGTCCCCTAAGTAGGAGACATACAATGATCTAATCCAGTATATATTATAAAGCCATTATAACTTTTATTCATATTTATTTTTTGTTTCCTTTCACTGCATGATTTCTAATACATACATAATTTATAAACTAATACATAATAATTTATAAACTAAAAGCATACACAGATTTAAGTCTTGCTCAAAAGCTTTTTTACCGGTAGGTAGGGTTAGACAATCATAGATTGTTAGAGGCCAAAAAGGAACAAGGCCTGGCCTGGGAAAACCTGGGCCCTCTCAGGCTGGGAGCCCTGGGCCCACTACAAGCACATTACATTATCCATTCAACTGACAATACAGGTCCTTTCTGGGTGATTCTGTTCCACCGTCTTATAGCTGCAGGTCTCCTTGTTGAAGATTTTCTGGCACTTGGCTTTTGTGATAACACACAGGTGTAGTAGGGCTGTCACTGAGACAAGAGCAAGGCCTGTTAGAAGGGAATAGGATGCCCCGCCTCCCCAGGACTAGCTCCAACTGTCTGGGATGCCCCTCACCAACTTAAGGTCACTCTTTGGCTGGCAACACCGAAGTGCCACCTTCAGGAAGCTGGACCTGAACACATAGAACCTGAACTATCAACACACAGATCATCTATGGCATCACTCTTAAATTCCACCTTGCCCTGCAGGCACAGAAAGATAGCAGTGAGGGCGCCTGGGCGGCTCAGTTGGTTAAGCGACTGCCTTCGGCTCAGGTCATGATCCTGGAGTCCCGGGATCGAGTCCCGCATTGGGCTCCCTGCTTGGCGGGGAGTCTGCTTCTCCCTCTGACCCTCCTCCCTCTCATGCTCTCTGTCTCTCATTCTCTCTCTCTCAAATAAATAAATAAATAAAATCTAAAAAAAAAAAAAGAAAGATAGCAGTGAGTTCTGATAGGCCCAGAAGCGGATCTGGGCTCTTGTGGGGCCAGGCAGCTTGTCCCAGCCTGACTCTTCTTGCCCTCCCTACTCAGGATGTGCCAGCAGTACTGCTGCTGGAATATGGGAAGGGAACTGTCCCTGGCATGGAGGCCAGTTAGGATGGGAGCTGGCTCAGCCAAGAGGAACAAAGAATCACTCCGGTGGGGGGCGCCTGAGTGGCTCAGGTCATGATCCCAGGATCTTGGGATTGAGCCCTGCGTCGTCTCATGGGGCTCCCTGCTCAGGAGCAAGTCTGCTTCTCCCTCTCCCATCCACCCTTCCCTCCCCCCGCTCCTGCTCTATCTCATTTGCTCGTGCTCACTCTCTCTCTCAAATAAAATTTTTTGAAAATATTAAGAAAAAAAGAATCACGGGCGCTTGGGTGGCTCAGTTGGTTAAGCGATTGCCTTCGGCTCAGGTCATGATCCTGGAGTCCCGGGATCGAGTCCCGCATCGGGCTCCCTGCTCAGCAGGGTGTCTGCTTCTCCCTCTGGCCTTCCTCCCTCTCATGCTCTCTGTCTCTCATTCTCTCTCTCTCAAATAAATAAATAAAATCTTAAAAAAAAAAAAGAATCACTCCAGGTGGGGATCATAGAGCTCAGAAAGAATATGATGAAAACTAGGTGTTACCAGAGAGAGAACCAATTCTGAACTCAGGTTTGACTGCTCGCTGCTCTAAAATCAATACTCAAGAAACAAGTGATGGTGGGAAAGGAAAGGTTGCTTTATTCAGGAAGCTGGCAACCTGGGAAGATGGTGGACCAACATCCCAAAGACCATCTCCCCCATCCAGGTGAAGCCAGAAAGTTGTAAAGGGGAAAGCAGGGGAAACAGTGAGGGGGCACTCTGTGCAGGAGACCCTGGTACTCAGGTGGTTCATCATATGTTGACATGATGTGGAACAGACTTACTGCCCTCAGTGGCAGCTGTTTTGGGTTTTTTTTTTTAAGATTATTTATTTATTTATTTATTTATTTATTTATTTATTTAACAGAGATAGAGAGAGTGTAAGTAGGCAGAGTGGCAGACAGAGGGAGAGGGAGAAGCAGTCTCTCCGCCAAGCAGGGAGCCCGATGCGGGTCTCGATCTCAGGATCCTGGGATCATGACCCGGGCCGAAGGCAGTCGCTTAACCAACTGAGCCACCCAGGCGCCCCAGTGGCAGCTGTTTTCAAATGTGGTCAGGACTGGGCGCCTGGGTGGCTCAGTTGGTTGGGCGACTGCCTTTGGCTCGGGTCATGATCCTGGAGTCCCTGGATCGAGTCCCGCATCGGGCTCCTGCTCGGCGGGGAGCCTGCTTCTGCCTCTGACCCTCCCCCCTCTCATGTGCTCTCTCTCTCTCATTCTCTCTGTCTCAAATAAATAAATAAAATCTTTTAAAAAAAAAAAATGTGGTCAGGACTTATCTCCTGGGAAAGTCTGGGCCGTCACTCCTCAAGGCCAGTCAGTGGTCTGCAAAATCTCAAGGAAAGTAGGTTAGTTCTGCTACAAGCCAAGGGGCTTAGGTCGGCAAGCAAGCAGTGCCTAAGCTTGAAGCAAGTCAACCCTTAAGACCGGTTGGAGTGCTGTTACATAGGGACCATCTCCCTGGGATAATCCACCCACACATTCAATGGTGCAAACCATTTTAGGGCTCATCGCCCTCCAGAAACCCCAGATTTAAATTGCCCCTCCCCAAAGTGTACATAGAAGCAGCTATCTCCAGGGCCCTTTGTGATAATGTTTCCTTCCAAAAGGTGTCCCTTGACTTATTTTAACAAAAGAGGACATTTCAACACTCTCCCCAAAGAGTAAAAACCATAATGATAAATGGAAAAAGATTTTCCCAGGCACCTGCGGTGGGGGTCCTGGACAGTGGGGAGACCAGGGCAGTCTGGGCCTGGGCCTCCAACCTCAGGCTGGACCGCCGTGGGGCAGCTTGAGATCTGGACAGCGTCCCCTAGAAAATGCAATAGGTCAAAAAATTCTCCCAGAGAACAATGTAATCAAATCCTTTATTTTGTTACGGCAAAGGAAAAAAAAAAAGTTGGTGAGAAAAACTCGCTAGGCTGTCAGACAATTACAGGGCAAAGGAGTTGGCACTGAACAGTAGGGAGAAATGCACACATTTCCTCTGGGTGAAGCAGTGTGCCAAACGGGATAGGCAATGTGGCAGGAAAGAGGGGAGGGGCACCTTGAGCCCAGACTAGATTTTCAGTTACTGACCCAGGCTCAGGGGACACAGAACTGGCAGAGAGAAGGCATTACATATTTGAGTTAATTTATATTTAAAATCTCATTTAATTTTCATATTCACCTGATTATCCCTATTTTACAGTGAGTAAACTGAGACTCAGAGAGATTAAGAAACTTATCAGGGTCCCACAGCTGGTATACAAGAGAATGGAGATTCAGACTCAGTTACTCTGACTCTAGCATGGGGGCTCTTCTCACGTCACTCTTTTCTGTACTCGATTCACAGAACCCTGGAAGAGGGTTGTACTGACATACCTGTGATGATGCGGCACTGACCAGGGTGGGGGAGTGCCAAATCCAGGGGACGTGGATGCCTTGGCCTCTTTGGAGATGCACTCATATCAGAGAGGAACATTTCACTAGCCCTTAACTTGGTCCAGTACAATCACACCCTACAGCCACACTGACACTTTATAGAAAGACAATGTCAGATTTCTGGAACCACAAAACCAAGGTTCAGCTGTAATATGTGGTGACCCAACCAAGGCAATACCTGGGAACCTGCTTCAGCCAGCCAGCCAGCCAGTCTCCCAATCCAATATCCTTCCTGTTCCATTAAGGACTTAGCATGGGGCACACTCAATACATATATTTGGAATTTTCCAGACACTTAAAATCTGTGGCACTCAGGTGTTTAAGTCAAGTGCTCATTCCTCCACTCACTGCTAGTGCCATAAGTCTCTCGGAGGCACTTGTTAAAATTCAGATTCCTTCGCCCCTATAGATTCTGATTCAGTAGGTTCTGGGATGGGCCCCAGAAATGTGTATTTCATCAAACTTCCCAGCTGTGTCTGTGATCAGGCAAGTTTGGGAAACGCTATTTATGCCAATGCTTCTGTCATCAGAGCAGCTCCTGTTCTTGCAAAATGCTACAGGCTGAGCCTGGCATGAAGACATCAGATGGACTGTGGGGAGGGGTGTGGGGAGTGGCTCTTATGGACATAGCTGCTGAGGAAATAGGACAATTAGGGTCATAATTTGGGTACTCTCTGTTTTATCACCCCAAGCACTAGACCTTTGGTGTCCACAGTAATCCAGCAAAAACATCTACACAAACTTTGTGCTGACTTGAGTTAAACTGAGCCAGTGAAGCAACACAGGGTTTAGAGTGTAAAGCACACTACAGGTCATCCTCTGCACCTTCACATGCAACCCCCTCCGCTGTGCTCACAGCCACTCCTGTTCTTGCAAATGGCCACAAGCTAAGGCTAAAGTGACACTGGCCAACTTCTAGAATACCTTCAGATGATTGGGTGTTATTTCCTATCCTGAATACAACCCATCTGGATATAGGTATTTAATAATAAAATATTTATCAAGTTTCAAACCTACTTAAAGGAAATAAGCCGGGGTGCCTGGGTGGCTCAGTCGGTTAAGCGTCTGCCTTCGGCTCAGGTCAAGATCCCAGGGTCCTGGGATGGAGCCCCGCATCGGGCTCCCTGCTCGGGGAAGCCTGCTTCTCCCTCTCCCACTTCCCCTGCTTGTGTTCCCGCTCTCGCTGTGTCTCTCTCTGTCAAATAAATAAATAAAATCTTAAAAAAAAAAAAAAAGGAAATAAGCCTGGGGTAGAAGCACCCCAAATGTATGAAACATTATTCAGCCTCAAAAAGGAAGGAAATTCTGAGACATGCTATAACACGGATGATCCTTGAGGACATTATCTGGAAATAAGCCAGTCACAAAAGGACAAATACTGTATGATAGCACCTAGATGAGGTACCTAAGGTTGTCAAATTCATAGAGACAGAGTAGAATGGGGGTTGCCGGGGACTGGGTGGAGGAGGGAACAGATGGTTGTTTAATGAGCACGGAGTTTCAGTTTGGGAAGATGAAAAAGTTCTGGAGATGGTGACACAGAAATGTGAATGTACTTAATGCCACTGAATTTTACACCTAAAAATGGTTAAAATGGTAAATTTTATGTTTTATATATTTTACCACAATAAAAAAAGGAAGGAAGGAAGAAAGGAAGGAAGGAAGGAAGGAAGGAAGGAAGGAAGGAAGGAAGGAAGGAAGGAAGGAAGGAAAGGAAGGAAGAAAGAAAAAGAAAGGAATGGCACTGAAAAACTAAACCTCCTTCAGGATGGGAATTTGAAAGAAGGGAGTACGTATTCCAGAGAGCAGCCCAACAGAGCTGAATCCCCCGACTGGCCCTACTGACTTGAGACTTCCTCGTAGCAACAGTTAATTCCATCTTGGCTACAAAGACACTCCTCCCAGACCTTAGTCTCCCACTTGGAATTCGGCAAGTGTGTGACTCCATCAAGATCCTTGCAC